TTCTTAGCTGCGGGTGATCTCAGTGCTTGTGGATATTTTTCAAGGTGTTTGCAGAGATGGTCTTACTGTTTTTGTTTGCTGTGTATGGTACAAAGACCTTGCTTTCAGGGGCAGAATTAAGGACACAGGGAACAAGTCCTTGGATCTGTTTACTTCTCCATTACCTGGGAAGAAGAATGGTGTTGCCTTGACCTCTCTCCCGGGTTGTAACTGTAGCTGTTTTGTGCACGGTGGTGAGTTGGCACATTAGCTCTGAGCCCCCGGGGTGCCAGGCCAATGCTGAATAACTGATCAGGGCTACCTGCAGCACTGTTTTCAAATGACTCAGACTGGGGCTCATCACAGAAGAAAACTATGATTGATAAGTGCAGTCTGCTGTGGGCAGGGAAGGGTAAACTCTACTGAATGAGCCAGGAAGTTTCCGTTCCATATATATTGACTGCCAGGGAATGGCTTGACCTTGCGGCTTCAGTTTTGGTCTGGCGATCATTTATTATAAGTGGAATGCTTTAGACACAACTTAAATAATCTAGCTTTCCTCACCATTCCTAATGAAGTTAAATTGATTTTATTATTCCCCAATAAGATCACATTTAGCCTGTTGTCATTGGTGGGTTATTCTTCTTAGCCCACATTTGAGAATAAAAACTATTATTAGGTGGTGAAGATAAAGTGGTAAATTATATTCACATTTCCTAAATTTAGGAAAGTAATGCAGAACTCTTACACACACACATTCTCTCGCTCTTTAAAAAAATGTCCCTGTATGCATTTTACTTTACCCTTTGCTATTATTTTTTTCAATTTAAAGAGATTTCTAGGTGTTTTTCAGTCTAGAATAAAATTATCAGAGGGCATGAGTGTGTATAGACTAGGTTATAAGACAGATTGTATTTCTTGTGGATCATGATCAAAACAATTTGAAAGTCACAATTCAGACTTTATTTACTTTATAATCACAGAGCCTTAGGGGAGAGGAGTGGTTTCTTGCTGCTTTATGGACTGGGCAGATAGCATATGTCTCAGTCGCATCAAATCCATGCATGGCTTTATTTTGGTTGTTCCAAAGCTTTGGAGGCATGAGTTTGGACAGGAATGGTAAGCCAGGTCTGTTTAAAATGCATTTCACACATACAAGATACAAAACCTTGAGCAGTTACCTTCACGAAGGCCCAGGCGATCATGGACCAATCCCCTGGAACAAGTGAAATGGCCTTAGTGCCCCACCCAGGAGAAAACTGCTCTGTTTCCTTAGCAAAAGTTAAGGCATGAACACATATTATTCTGCCTGACCTGTGTCCAGGGGTGTGGTCCATCCCCAGTTCCTTGAACTGCAAAGAAAAGTTAACTACATTTTACATTCCAGTATACAATGCTGCTGCTAAGTCACTTCAGTTATGTCTGACTCTGTGCGACCCCTGAGACGACAGCCCACCAGGCTCCCCCGTCCCTGGGATTCTCCAGGCAAGAACCCTGGAGTGAGCTGCCATTTCCTTCTCCAGTGCATGAAAGTGAAAATTGAAAGTGAAGTCGCTCAGTTGTGTCCAACTCTTAGCGACCCCATGGACTGCAGCCTACCAGGCTCCTCCGTCCACGGGATTTTCCAGGCAAGAGTACTTAGGTGCAGACAAATACTATTTGATTCCACTTGTACAGGATACCTAGGAGACAAATTCACAGAGTCAGAGTACAGTGGCAGATGCCAGATGCTGAAGGTTGCTGGGTGGGGCTATTAGTGTTTCTGGGGGGCAGAGTTTCAGATTAGGAAGGTGAAAAATTCAGATGTTTTATATTATGTGACCTTTCCTACAATAAAAAACATTAACAATTTTTAAAACTTACATTTCATAGTCACTTGTGACTCCAGGGTTCCCACAGCCACAGCCATCTTCAGAGGTTCCCAGCTGCCCGAAGAGGAGTGATCCTAGTGTTTTCACTACTCAGACCCAGGCAGCCAGAGGGCATTTTGGGGTGATCATCCCGAGTAACAAAAGCTCCCAATCTGACTCGTGTAGAGGAGCAGCAGTGAAGTCAAAAGGGCCAAGGAGCACAGGCCACTTTGCTGGCAGAGCCTGGCTTTCTGTTTCTCTTCCAGCTGCAAGCGGGAGGTCAGGATCTGGATTAATAAGGGGGTGGCAGGAGGGGCTGCCTGGGGAGGCTTGGAAAGTTCGGGGGGCCCCTGAGGTCTGTCATCAGTCTCCCTGTGTCAGTGTAAGAACAGTGAGTGAGTTCTTGTTTGAATGATGTGATGCGCTCAGTCCAGTCTGACTCTCTGTGACCCTATGGACTGTAGCCCACTAGGCTCCTCTCTGTCCAAAGGATTTTCCAGGCAGGAATACTGGAGCGGGTTATCATTTCCTCCTCCTCCAGGGGATCTTCCCGAGCCAAGGATTGAACCCGCGTCTCCTGCATTGGCAGGTGGATCCTTTGCCACTGAGCCACCAGGGAAGCAATGATGTGGTGAGGAAGCACATAAAGAGGAAATTGCACTTTGGGAGTTTTAAGGGATGAGTGAAGTGAAGTCGCTCATTCATGTCAGACTCTTTGCGATGCCATGGACTGTAGCCTACCAGGCTCCTCAGTCCATGGAAATTTTCCAAGCAAGAGGGGTCAGATGCCTAGCTCTGCTGCAGCCTGGCAGGATCCGGAGAGGAGCCCTGTCCTGTGGAGAAGGCCTCCAATGGGGAGTCTGGGATAAATCTCGGTGCTTTTGTTCCCCCTCAACTTCAGCCAACTATATTCTTCTTGCGAAGCATCCACTTACTATCGCTGGCAAGATTTTCAGGGTACATAGGGCACGAGTCTCTTGCAGGAAAATCTTCTAACAGTGGACATACGTTCATATTTCATAGGCTGTGAATACATCTTCTAACAGTGGACATATGTTCATATTTCATAGGCTGTGAATACATCTTCTAACAGTGGACATACGTTCATATTTCATAGGCTGTGAATACATCTTTAGTAATACATCTTTAGAGTGCTGAGCGGGTTGCCATTTCCTTCTCCACCTTTCCTGGTGGTGGCTCTCAGTTACATGAGTCAAGGAAGGAGTTGGTGCTTGACTGAGCTTTTTTTTTTTTTTAAGCTTTTAAAATTGCAGTAGCAAGTACAGGCTTGCCTGGTGGCTCAGTGGTACAGAATCCACCTGGAGATGCAAGAGACGTGGGTTCGATCCCCGGGTCGGGCAGATCCCCTGGAGAAGGAAATGGCAACCCACTCCGGTACTCTTGCCTGGAGAATCCCATGGACGGAGGAGCCTGGCGGACTACAGTTCATAGGGTCGCGAGAGTCGGACACGACTGAGCGTGCACGCACGGGACAGGCTATAGCTGAGTAGCTGATTCAGTGTTTCAGGCGTCCTGCTTCAGTTTCATGTGTATTTCTTTTCTATTATAGGTTATAACAGGATATTGAAATACAGTTCCCTGGGCTCTAAAGTAGGTCCTTGTTATTTTATAAGTATATAGCAGCGTGCATCTGTTAATCCCCAATTCCCGGTTTATCCCCCCTCCCTGACCCCTTCCCTTTTGGCAGGTTTGCTTTCTATCCCAGGCCCTCTGTGCAGCTGCCTCTGCGGTGCGCGGGGGGTCCGTAGAGGGGCCGGAGCTCTGGGCTCTGCATTTGTGCAGAGAGGAGGCGGATGTTGGAGAACTGGCTCTCCCGCCACGGCCCCACCTGTGCGAGCGCTCACACCCGTGCTCTGGTCCCTTCTACTCCCCTAGAGGGCTTCCTTGCCAGTTTTCTGCACTTTCTCTACCGTGGAACTAGTTCCTTTCCTCTGCTGGTTCTTTTTCTCTAGCATGTGCAACGATCTTTGAAAGCAGTTTAACCTGTCCCTTCTTCCTAAGTCCGACAAGGTAGACAGGTGCTACCTAGAATCCTCATGTTATAGATGGGGCAACCGGTCCAGAGAGATTTAAGTGTGAACACGTAGCGCGGGGGTGCTAGAAAGTAACTTCTGTGGCAGCTGGAGTAAGTACTCACCACCACCCCGGGCTGCTCTCGAAAATCAGGTGTGTGAAGAGTTGCAGCTGTGAATCAACCTTTGAGCAGTTTTTTTTTTTTTTTTTGGGGGGGAGCGGTATGTAACATTGATTAAGAAAGCTTGGTCATCATAAAATACAGGTGAGAAAATGGACTGTCTTCTTGAAAAATTGACGACAGACAGGCACGTTGGTAACTATTTTTATTTCACATCTGGATTCAGTTTCACATGTATTTGCATAAATAATTTAAAAATGATCTCTAATGATTAACTATGCACAACTGCAAACTAGTTCAAGGGGTCCCACTATCATTCTCCACTCACAACACAACCCTCGCTCTGTCATAGCACCAGAGAGGAGAGAGAGGCTGGTCTCTTTCTTTACAGCAACACTGAGTTTGCGTTATGTAAAGCAGCTGGGTGGGTTCTACTTGTTTTAAATTTTAGTAGTCAGGCTAGTGATTTTTTATTTATCATTAAAAGATAATACCCCAAACTGTTAAGGTCAGAATAAAATGGTGCGGTTCTAGCATCCCAAGCTAGAAGGAGTTATTTTTTCAGTGAGAGGGAATCCACATGACTGAGAGAGCTAATGTTATTAGACAGAAGCAAGCACTTAAGGATCGACAGGAGGAGGTGCATGTGCTGGACACTACAGAACCTCAGAGCTTTCTCAGCTTCAAAATTACAAACTGTTTTTTGGGGGTACATGGCGTGATTAATGAGTAATCAGGACTGAATTTTAGAGTGAGATGATCCATGTTAGTTTTCCAACTGAATCTAATAGAGCATATTTACTTTAACAACGATTCCCCACCACCTCTATCACAGTAAAACTGAAATTTGTCATTTATAGTGTTACCTGAACGATCAAAACATGACAGTCTTTACAACTAGCGGGCTGCCCAGGGGACAGGTTTAGAGTCCTCCCAGCCAAGGTGGACTGTTCTTGTTGAGCATGATGTTGGCGAACGAGGTATGTCGGAGGCACAGCGACGGAGGTCAACACTGGTCAGTTTTTGATGGCCATGGTCCAGAGCAGGGGACAGTCGGTCTCCACAGTCACAACACCAGATCCGTCGTAGGTGTTGGAAGTGCTCACTAGTGTTCCAAAACCAAGCATCTGATGTGCTGTAAGAACGTAAGAACACAAAGGTTTGGTGACAGCCAACATCCCTCCAGTGTAGAATGACTTTGTTGAGAATTACCAAAACACATTTAAGCACACACTTGGAATTAATAGATGATCTATAGGTGAGGTTCTAAAGCTGAAAGTTTCTGTAACTTGCTGTGACCACTCCTCCTAGAGTTGGCTACAGGTTATTTATCCGTTTGGGGTATATGTCAGTCTTAACACTAAATTTCAGTCAAGTGTTTTCTTTTTCTTCTTTACCAATTGTAAAACCAACATCCATTTCTGTAATAGGTTACTTACTTCCTTGCCTGGGTGCAATTTTAATTTTTTTGATAATTCAGAATTAACATTTTAATATTTAATTAAGCTCTATAAAAAGGCAGTTTTAGTTAAGAGTATAAATGATATGGGACAGAAAGCTAATTACTTAAAAAAAGAGTATAGGATTTTGGTCATTTTTTTCCTCATAAAGAAAGAGAAGCCAGTGTGAACAAGGTTCACTTTCTGTAAAATTACTTGGAACTCAGAGGTCAAAAAGCAGAATTTCAGGTCATTACTTAATTGTCAAAATAAAGGTTTTGGAGTTAAGTTGTATTATTAAAATGTATATATTTATAAATTACATAAATCTGTACACAAGTGTGTATATATATATATATATTTCCTAACAAAAGTTTGCTGAAGTTAACATGTAGGAATCCATTGGTAACCTCATTTCTCTTTGCTTATAAAAGAGCAATTCACATTATCGCCATGACTTTAAATCATGACTGTCCTATCAATATGCCCTGATATAATCAGAAGAAATCAGAAAGGGGAAAATAAATGTTATGCAGAGAAGTAAACAAATGTCAGGAGCTAGAAAAGGCCTCTATTCCTTCCAACAAAGTGCAACTATGAAGTTACACAACTTTGAAGTAAATAAAATAATTCAATTATAATGGTCACTCCCCACTAGAGGGAGCCTGTTTTCTGAGGAAATCTTGAAAAGGCAATTTAAAAATTCACAAACAGTATTATAGGATAATATATCATCAGTATTACCAGTTCACACAGTTTACTTATTAAAAGTCAAACTATTTCTTTTTCGTAGTTGTCAACACGTTTACTAATGCAAACAGGAAGTTACAAAGTGAAACTGCAGGAATGCAGAGTCAACCTCATGTGACTGCTGCCCTAAGAGGAAATTCAATGTTTTTGCCTCTCCGGTAATAAACTGTGGGAAATTCTGAAAGAGATGGGAATACCAGACCACCTGACCTGCCTCTTGAGAAACCAGTATGCAGGTCAGGAAGCAACAGTTAGAACTGGACATGGAACAACAGACTGGTTCCAAATAGGAAGAGGAGTACCTCAAGGCTGTATATTGTCACCCTGCTTATTTAACTTATATGCAGAGTACATCATGAGAAATGCTGGGCTGGGTGAAGCACAAGCTGGAATCAAGATTGCCGGGAGAAATATCAATAACCTCAGAATGCAGATGACACCACCGTTATGGCAGAAAGTGAAAGATGAGAGTGAAAAAGTTGGCTTAAAGCTTAACATTCAGAAAACTAAGATCATGGCACCTGGTCCCATCACCTCATGGGAAACAGATGGGGAGACAGTGGAAACAGTGTCAGACTTTATTTTTTTTGGCTCCAAAATCACTGCAGACGGTGACTGAAGCCATGAAATTAAAAGACGCTTACTCCTTGGAAGGACAGTTATGACCAACCTAGACAGCATATTAAAAAGCAGAGACATTACTTTGCCAACAAAGGTCCGTTTGGTCAAGGCTATGGTTTTTCCAGTGGTCATGTATGGATGTGAGAGTTGGACTGTGAAGAAAGCTGAGCGCTGAAAAATTGATGCTTTCGAACTATGGTGTTGGAGAAGACTCTTGAGAGTCCCTTGGACTGCAAGGAGATCCAACCCGTCCATCCTAAAGGACATCAGTCCTGGGTGTTCATTGGAAGGACTAATGGTGAAGCTGAAACTCCACTACTTTGGCCACCTCATGTGAAGAGTTGATTCACTGGAAAAGACCCTGATGCTGGGAGGTGTTGGGGGCAGGAGGAGAAGGGGACGACAGAGGATGAGATGGCTGGATGGCATCACCAACTCAATGTACGTGAGTTTGAGTCAACTCCGGGAGTTGGTGATGGGCACGGAGGCCTGGCATGCTGCGATTCATGGGGTCGCAAAGAGTCAGACATGACTGAGCGACTGAACAGAACTGAACTGAATCTGGAGCTTTTCTTAGATGAGGTTTCTGAATGATATGAATAAGCATGTCCATTAAATTTATAAATCCAGGCAAAATTACATATACAGAGGGTTAGGGTGATGGTTGTGGAGGGAGTCACAGGAAGTCTGTTAAGGAAAGAAGCCTTGTTCTCCTAAAGGTTGGGGAATGGTTCATACATTTCATACCTTTTATTCAGAAAGGCAATTTAGGGGGCTTCAGAGGACTAGCTTTAGAGTTGGAAACTCCCCATTGAAGCACTGGGTACACACAACCCACCTGGAATCGACACAGTGCGTTTAAGATTCTGGTGACTAATTAGGTTAAAATCCTAGTTTGACCTGGGCTCAAAGAACAAGAGTACAAAATTACTTCTCTAGTTTGCTGCTGCACACACATTCCTTTCTGATTTTCTGAAGGCAGAGTAGGGACTTTGGATTATCCTGGGTAGACAACTATATTATATATATCGGTTTTTCTAAGACACTGTTGCATCCTAAATAATTTTTAAATAGGACTTTGCATGAAATATTTGAGTTAAGGCCATTTTTATCCAATCTTATAAATCATGTTTTCTTTTTTTGTGTGCGTGCAATGTTTAAAATTCCACCAGGATCAGTTATTAAACTACATGTTTTAGTTGGTTTTGGGTGCTATAACAAAATGCATAGGATGAGTGGCTTAAATAGCAGACATGATTTCTCGCAATTCAGGAGCTTGGAAAGTCCCAGATCAGGGTACCAGCATGGCTGGTTCTGGTAAGACCCTTCTTCCTGGCTGGTTTACAGATAGCTGCTTTCCTGCTGTATCCTCACACAGTGGAGAAGTCTCCTACCTCTTCCTCTTTTTATAAGGGTGCTAGTCCCATCATGAGGGCTCTCATTATCTCCCAAAGGCTCCAGCTCCAAATACTGTCACATTGGGGATTATGCTTCAATATATGAATTTAGGATACAAACACTTGGTCCGTAACAATGGTTACAATTAATGGAAAGGTTACAATGAATTCATTTGTCTCCACCTCTATGAAAAGTAGAATAGAAAACAAAGATAAATAAACTGAAAACAGGAAATCATGAAATCCAGTTTACTCTGGATTGTTTATTTTGGGGTATGCTTTTTCCAAAGAATTATGCTTTTAGACAAGACATTCAAGTATCTTTTAGAAGAAAGAAAAATTTTGAATAAAGTACTTGAAATTAATACTGAGTTCCCCTCTTCCCAAATGTTTGAGGGTCAATCATGAAATAAAATACGTAAGATTGGCAGAGAGAGAACTTCCTGTAGACAGCAATAAAACAAATTTTTATTATTTTTTCCTCTAGTTTTAAGGTAATTGACATATTATACTGTATAAATTTAAGATGTATAGCACATATAATGACCTATGCGTATAGAATGAAATGATTTACAAAATTAGTTAACATCCATTACTCTATGTAATTACCCTTTTTTTCTTGTGATGAGAACTTTATAATGTCTGTTCTCTTACCACCTTTCAAATGCACCACACAGCACTGGCAGGGATTCTCACCATATTGTACATTATAGAGCCAGTACTTATTTATCTTATAACTGGAAGTCTGTATCTTCTGACCCCTTTCATCTCATTCTCTCTACTCCCTGCCTCTGGCAATCACAAATTTGATATTTTTCCTATGAATTTGAGTTTTTCAGATACCATGTATAAGTGAGATCATACAGTATTTGTCTTTCTTATTTCACTTAGCATAATACCCTCAAGGTCTGTTCATACTGTTGCAAATGGCAAGGTTTCCTTTTTATGGCTGAATAGTACTCCACTGTCTATACACCACATTTTCTTTATCTGTCTGTTGATGGAAACTTAGGTTGTTTCCATATCTTAGCTATTGTAAGTAATGCTGTAATGAAGATAGGAGTGCAGTTATCTTTGGACGTAGGGATTTTGCTTCCTTTGGATATACACCCAGAAGTGGGATTGTTGGTAATATGGTAGATTTATGTTTAATTTTGAGAAACCTCCATACTATTTTCCATGGTGGCTGTACCAATTTACATTCCCACTAACAGTGCACAAAGGTTCCTCTCTCTCCATGTCATCTTCAAAATTTGTTCTCTCGTCTTTTTGATGACAGCCTGTCTAATAGGCATAAGGTGATAACTTAAGAGTGGATTTTAGTTAATTTCCCTGATTAGTGATGTAAACTACCCCTTTCATATATCTATTGGCCCTCCATATGTCTTCTTGGAAAAATGTTTATTCAGGTCCTTTGACCATTGGTTTTTTTCAGTTCTAGGAGTTCTTTATATATTTTGAATATTAACCCCTTCTCAGTATGATTTGCAAATATCTAATCCCATTGCTTTGGTTGTCTTTTTGTTTTGTATTCTTTTGCTGTGCAGAAGCTTTTTCGTTTGATATAGTCCCACTTGTTTTTTAATTTGCTGCTTGTGCTTTAGATATCATATGCAAAAATCATTGCCAAGACCCATGTCAGGAAGCATTATTCCTGTTTTCTTCCAGGAGTTTTACAGTTTTATTTAATGTCTTAATCCTTTACGAGTTAATTTTCGATGAGTGATGTAAAAATAGGGATCTAATTTCACTCTTTTACATGTGAGTATCCAATTTCCCAGCACCATTTATTAGACAGTTGTTCTCCATTGAGTATTCTTGGCTCTCTTTTTGTATTAGCACACTGTATATGCATTGGTTCTCAACCCTGCTTCAGTGGTTTATGTATCTGTTCTCACACCAGGAGCGTGTCCATGGCTCATGTGTCT